TGTAGCTATCCCAGCAATCGCCTAAAGGGGGCACTATTGGACTGCATAAAAATGTGGAACCTTGCCTAAAAAAAAAAAATGCCAATATCTCTAAAGATAATCTCTGACCTAAGCCTTGGACAAAACCATAAAATAGAATTGGGTGGTCTATTCTATGTCAGCATCTGTCCGACTTACTGTCTCCTCATAGATAATGAAACATTCCTCCAAATACCTTTAGAATGACAGAATGTGGGTACCAGGCACAGTGGTTCTCCACATATAGTGTCACTGATAAAACTCTGTATATCCAAACTCGTGCATAGTACTTAAACACAGCCCACCATACAAATAATACATGGTAATATATATTGTTTGGTTTACTCATTTAACGAATATACATTGAATATTGTAATATTATTTGAAGTACATATTAAAAGTGAAATTAAATGTCACTTTTAATGTACTTTTACAATATTCAATGAATTCAATTAAGTAGGCATAATAAAGACACTTGAGTCCCTTTTTCCAGTAATGAGAAAAACAAAATGAAAACAGTGAACAAGAGACATGACAGCCATCAATCTCATGATAACCCAGTCTGGCACCATGGCCGGTGCTGATCTTGTGTTGGTTGTCTGGACCCCACAATGTACTACCTGGGAATGGATATGGTAAGACTCATTTTAAATCTTCAACCAGGAAGAATGAACTTGCATTCACCTCATGGCAGACAGACAAAGATGGCTTCCAGGATGCCCATATAAAAATAATATGTAGAGGCCTTAGAATTTGATTCCTTTTAGCCCCAATAGTTCTGACAGGTCTGTCCCCTGCCAGCAGCTGCAGAAGGACCCCTTGCTCTCTGTGTGGAAGCATTGGCCTTACATGCCCAGAACTGAGCCAAATTTCTTCAATCTGCAGGCAGCGTGACCTTTGAGTGTAGAACAATAGGTCTGACATGATGGGGGCATGTTGGACATCTTCAGAGAGACCTCTGCTTCTATACAGAGAGCAAGACTCCTTCTCTGTAACTGCTGGCCAGGGCCAGGCTTTTCTACTCGGGTTGTGGCTGCTTCAGACATGATTGTAAGTTCTTGAACACCTAACAAACTGTATTTAGCAGATTGAGGGTTCAGATTTTG